AGAAGGGAAAAATAGGATGATTTTTCCAGAAAACTTAAATTATCGACACTGTTAGAATCCACTCTGGATGAAGGCCAAAATCTACTTGTAAAAAACAAGGAGAGAAGCAACCTTAAATTCTAGAGTGCGACCTGTTTCAACCTTGTTTCGATCTCTGTCCTGGGTGCTGAAAAATGTCCTAACTTCCATGGAATGCATTTTCTTTCTCATCTATGGCAAGCAGATTAGTACTTGAGTACAATATTTTTTGAAGTTGTAGGATGTAGAATGCCTGCAAGCACAAATCGCCTGCAAACCTCTCCCATTACTTCCACCATCCGCCAAGGTTCTTGCCCAATTTCATTTTCAAAGTTTGGTTTATTTTTCCTCTCCCTTTGCCCCCCTCCCTTCTTCATTTTTAAGCAAAGTGGGAAAGTGCCATGGAACCAAACTAAGTACCATCCTACATCACCAAATATATGGGTGCTCAAAGACATTCTTGAAAAATGAAAATTTTTAGAAAGGTGGCCATCTTCCAGAGAATTAAATAAGAAAAAAAAAGGGGGGGGTTTCAAGTGTTAGTCTGAATAGCCAGTTTGTTTGCCCACAAAAGCCCTTCAAATGGTCCACCTTAAAAAGACTGGAACTTCTGCAGTAAGCTATCTATACACATGTATTGTTTAGAAATGCAGAATCTCATTTGGCAGAAATTAATTTCATGGTCAGTGCTCTACAAACTGGGTCCCAAGAAAGGAGATTCATTTCACCATCAGTTTAAAACAAGAATGGTTGCTAAAATAGTACCCTTGGGACATGCTGCTGGCCTCTCTTTGCCACCTACACTGAAGTCTTCAATGAGCTGAATCATTTGCTAACTTACATCTCCATAAAATTGATCTAATTTCCATTAGATATTTTTTTTTATACATCCAAGTTGGTCTCATGCCTTTTTCATCCATGTTGTCCTTTTTTCAAACACATAGAAATATTTTCAAGTTTCCAGTTGATGTCTTTCTCCTAGGAACCATGATCTAGATCCGTGATGGCAAACCTATGGCACACGTGCTGGAAGTGGCACGCAGAGCCACTTCTGCCAGCATGCGAAAGGTTGCCTGGAAGAGTCCCACTGTGCATGCATGTGCGCCCCCTGCCTGACAGCTGATGGTTGGCTATCTGGCATGCATGCACGGGGGGGCAGGGGGCATAGGAGATGCGGTGTATGCACAGAGGTGTGTGGTGGTGGGGATCCGGTGCACATTCGCAGAGATGCATGGCGTTCGGGGGTGTGGGGGCCCCGTGTGTATTGCCTTCTGGGTGTTGGCATGTGAGTGTGCGAGCACACACACAATTTTCGGCATAGGAGCCACCACTGGTCTAGGAAGAACACCAGACCATTACAGTGGGCAAAGTAGAAGAAGAGGTTATATTTGAAAAAGATATTTCTTAATTTTTAGCCATTTTATGCACACCACTCAAGCAGTTTAAAGCTGTGGGGTAGCAAGCATACTAAGTACACTCATGTCACAATGAAAAAACTGGGTTTGTCAGCCTAGGTTTGAGACCCAAGCACCATGTGTCAGAACAAGCTCCTATCCTAGTCCCAGCTCCTGCCACCCTAGCAGCTCAAAAGTATGCAAATGTAAGTAGATAAATAGATACCACTTCAGTGGGAAGGTAACAGCATTCCGTGGCATCATCCTGGCCACATGACATGTCTTTGGACAGCGTTGGCTCAATGGCCTTGAAATGGAGATGAACACTATTGTTGGCAATGACAAGGCAACAGAGAAATCCACAGAGGGACTCTATGTCACAATGCAAACATGTTGCAGAAGGTACAAGGACTAAATTTTTTTGCTAAGTGGCAGTGTTCAATGTTTTATATAGTCTTAAATGAAAGGGGGAAAGTGCTTGGGACTCATGTGTCACAATTGTTGAAATGTTTGCTTGGAAATAGATGAGTGGGGCAAACATTTAGTTAAGAGTTCATAGGATTGCAGCCAGAAGGAATGTTTTCCATTCATATTTATTTTGTTGGTATCTTAATCTAGCCAGAACTACCACATACTCCTTCCTTCAACATTTTTTTTCCTTTTGTATCAAATTTTAGATATGTTCTTTGGAATAGGGATGTGATTTTCTTGTACTCTATAGTTTGAAAGAGCACACTGCACACTGAGTTGCTATTTTAAGAAATATATACATGTATTTATAGCAGGGAGCTTCTCTCATTCGGTTTGCTCTTTTAAAGAGAAATATCTGAAATCAAAAGTCCACAGCTAAGTAATTACCACATTAGAATTAAATTATCCTAAAAGATTGCCATTTTTCAAATACTTTTTCAGGGTCAATTTAAAAAAAAGTGATGAAGAGGCAGGAAAAATATATATTTAGGCCAGTATTTTCAGCGATGAGTTTTACACTTTAAAATCAGACTAGTTGTATAGTTATGCTCTGAAGATAAAGCTTGATTTGTGTTGGGTTTTCCCTAGTTTTCATGGTTGTTTCCCTTTGCCCCATGTCTGAAAACACAAAAGCCACAAGATTCTGATGTGTCTCCCACCAGTAGTAACATACTGAGATGCCTTAACCTAACCGAGTGCACAGATAAAGGCCAGGTTTTATTGACTATGAAAGCAATTTTAATTGGTGTGCTAAATATAAAGTTGATTGAGCTGAACTGTGACATATTGACCAATAACTGGAGAGAATTGGCCCCTTACAATGTGCAACCATTGTTCAGATTATATAAAACCTTCTATTCTCCATGGATAGCTAGGTTGCATCTCCATTCATGAACAAAGGAAAGGATTTAACATTTTAAAAAGAAGTAAAAGATTCCCTCAATTTATTTATTTATTTGAAACATTGGGTCAATGTTTGGAAGCAGAAACTTACCAACATGATTAGAAATACAAAATGGATTTGATGTGATTGTTTTAAAAATGACTCCCCAAAAGACCCTCCAATTTAGAAAGAAATGCAGATATGCATTCTACATTGTTCCCTGACTCTTGTTCTTCCCACAAACATTAATTGCAGGCAGTAGCCCATGAAATCTCATAGCTCCAGAATGAGCTTGCTGTCAGGATCCACAGATCTGGGCTACTTGCTAGGACAGGATGATTGAATTGCTGAGAGATTCCAACCTTCCTCAAGCTTGAAGTGCAGCTGCCTATGGCACTCAGAGGAAGCAATCAACTAGCTACCACCAAGTTCCCTTGCAATTGTTTTTCTGGTATACACCACCTGCAATGCATGCTACTGTGGGGGTGGGAGGGACCCACTAGGCAGTTTTCTGCAAGTATTATAGAAACAACTAGTTGGGATTAAAACTCATACACTTTTATAAACATTAATACTTTGTGAAGACTTTGCAATACTTTGTGGAAGTATTAACAACATGCAGTAAATATGTGATGTTGAATTTTGATAGCTAATGGAGATAATATGAGCTATGATGGTGCAGTGGTTAAACTGCAAGCTACTTCTGCTGACTGCCAGCTGCCAGCAATTTGGCAGTTCAAATCTCACCAGGCTCAAGGTTGACTCAGCCTTCCATCCTTCCCAGGTGGATAAAATGAGGACTCAAATTGTTGAGGGCAAGATGCAAACCGTAAAACTGTAAACCGCTTAGAGATGGGTGTAAAGCACTGTAATGTGGTATATAAGTCTAAGTGCTCTTGCTAGTGCTAATAGTTATTTTAAGTTTGGGAACACCAAGACTTTATTACATTGTGGAAGTTTTAGAAACTTCAGAAGAATGGAATCTTTTTTAAAAAACTGCCTCCTAAATATATTAGCTCTTACTGTTCTCTCATAATCACCTTTAGTCTGGTCAACAGGTAGTTCCATTAATATGCTAAGCAAGGGTGGCATGGTATATCTGTTAACTCAAAAAAGGAAAAGAAAACCAATCTCTTTAACTATATACTTGGTGATATGGTTATACCATTGCCTCAGTAGCCAAATCATTTATTATGGTATAAATATATTAAATATTCTACCCTTGATGTTTAGCACTTATAATGGTAGAGCCAGGTAACTTTGTAGGCTAAGACAGTTTTGAAGAAGGTTCATTAGTTGGCTTCTTTTTCTCCTAAGAACCAAGAGGAACAAGTTGGGACGAATTAAATTTACTTACATATATAACATCCTCTCTCCGTCTCATCCACTCCCCATAAACATATACATGAAGAGTAACAGCAGCTTTTCCTTTCAAATTAAAAAAGAAAAACAAGTCTTCAACTTTTGAAGATGCAATACCTTGAGAGGAAGGAAAGAGGACTTTCTTAGAGCCTTGTAATGTCATATCAGAAGTCCATCTGCCAGATTTGATCTGTGAGCCACGGCCTCAGATGATTTTTTAATCACTGCTCTGAAAATAACATTTATTCATAGCCTGTAAGTCTTTAGCTGAATACTACGGAATTTAAGAAAAAGATGTTTCAGGCATGCATAGTTTAACAGTGTCTGTAAATTGCTTGCTATACATGAAATTGTCTGTTCCTGTATGATTTTATTTCATCAGGAACTCATTACTTCTGGTGAGGCTGAATTAATGAATTGCTAGCCTGCTATTTTGTAGTTCTTCTTATCTTTAGATGATGAGAAGGTGGAGGAGGATTTTCTGCCTCTCACCTCTATCTCACCTTGCTGCCATAAGGCAGTCAATGCATAATGAAAATAAAACACAAAGATGAAAAGTATCATGAAAGCCACTAAAACCACTAGACACTCTAGCACAAGCTGACATACTCTGACTAAAGTGGAAGGTCTTCACCCCTTGCTAAAAGGCAGCTGGAGGCAAGTAAATCTACCTTCTGAGAAAATTATTTCTCTAGCTTCAGAGGAATATAAAAAAGCGGCCCTCTTCTGTACATCCAACAAATGGCCTTTGAAAAATGAAAGCATCTTTCAGAGGGCCTCTCCCCATACATTAGCAATCTAGCTGTTATAGTTCCTGTCCCATTTATTTGCTTTGTGGATGATTACCATATTCTGTTTTTTGTTCTTTGCAGGTGCCTCAGGGAGACTGGAATAATATGCTGACGAGGGACAAAGACAATGAAATTCCATGCCGGCGCATGAGAAGCGGGAGTTATATCAAAGCCATGGGTGATGATGACAGTGAGGACTCAGAAACCAGCCCCAAGCCATCTCCTAAAACTGCAGCACGGAGGCAAAGTTACCTCAAGGCCACTCAACAGTCACTGGGTGAACAGAGCACCACTCAAAGGTACATCCTTCTAACTTCAGAAGTTCCTGTTTCAGTAGCACAACATCTTTGGATGTGGTGACTATGGCTCAAGTGAATTTCAGAAGGGAGGAAATATGCCTAATTTCACGTAGAAAGAGTGGGTCTAGACAGGGGTGGGATGCTACCGGGATCCAAATTGAGGTACAGGTAGCCCTCTACAACAACTGAGTCCAAAATTTATGTTGCTAAGTGGTCTTACTCATTTGTTAAATGAGTTTTACAACCTTTCTTGCCACCATTGTTAAGTGAATCATTGCAGTTGTTAAATTAGCCATATGGCTGCTAGCTGAATCTGGCTTCCCCATTGACTTTGCTTGTCAGAAGGTCGCAAAAGATAATCGCATGAACCCAGAACACTGCAACTATCATAAATATGAACCACTTGTCAAGTGCCTGGATTTTGATCATATGGCCATTGGGATGCTGCAATGGTCATTAAGTGTGAAAAAAAGGTCAGAAGTCACTTTTTTTCAGCCATTGTAACTTTAAACGGTCACTAAACAAACTGTTGTTAAGTTAAGGACTATCTCTATTCCTGCTCAACAGATGTCTGACAACCACTAGAATGCTTCCAATTGAAGGAGCCTGCCATCTCTCTCGGCCTAATTGATTCCATGTCAAACTGTAGCAACTTTAGGAAGTTTTACATAAGGGAAGCAAAACTTGGTGAATGATAGAAAAAAGTGGGAGACCTCTGCGAGTTACTTCTGACACAGAAGAAAAGAATCGGCATGTTTAGATATCCTGACCTCTGGAAAGAATGGCTATTATTTTCTGGAGGGGGGGGGGGCAACCTGCACTCCCTGTTTTGTTGCCCACCAAACTTTTAGGAGCCTAGCACACATTTCGTTGCCATTCAACTGATCAGGCTATAATTGTTTACAGAAAGAGATAGTTGATTTTTCACAGCTTAAGCTCCATCCCTCCAAATTACTCAAGTGTCCTGCTTTATCAGTGCAAATGGGGTGATATTCAGGGTATATGGTAATGGCAGGAGGGACACATATCCTTTCTTATAGGTAGACATTTGCAAGCTTGAGTTAAACTCAAACTGATGAAAAATTAGAATGCGAGAAAGGCCTTTATTCAGAATTTTGATGAAGTTACAAAGAGGAACACCAGTCAAAACTGGTAAAAATGAATTGTGAAACCACCAACAGAAAGGAGCAGATGATCACTCCATGAACAATATTTACTGTATGAAGGGAACTGGACTTGGCCTCTTTATGGCTGTCATTTCCCAATATGGCTGATCATCCAGATTTATTTATCTATTCATTTGTTTGTTAGATTCATTTGTTTGTCAGAAATGGTGTAGGGTCTCCCACTTGGGCGAGAGGTTGGACTAGATGACCTATAAGGTCCCTTCCAATTCTGATTATTTGTTATCTGTTATCTAGATTTGAAGACTGCCTATAACTCCCAAAGGATTCTCAGTGGCTTACAATACATGGGGGAGGAGGGGATCAAACAAACATATGCATCCAGAAAAGTAAGACAGTCGAATATTCCAATCAACAAAAAATATTTTTAACAGCTTCCTGAGCAACTGTAGAGTCAAAATCATTTGAATTTCTGGTGGATGTTGTTGCAGAAGGCAGGTGCCACAAGAGAGAAGGACATTCTAATTCCGGATGCATGGCATTGCTTGAATGAAGGGATCTACAGCATATACAGTACATTCAGTTTAATCTCTCTAGGTGGGCATAAACAATCAGAAACAGACAGACCTACCACATGTAAGATTTTATAGGTAATAATGAATTGCATACAGAAGCCAACGGCAGCTCAGGAAGCAGGGATGGTCATAATTTACTGTATATGTTTACATGTATGCACATACATAGGTATATAAAACGGAGATGAAGTTAAGGAGTGAGGCAATATTTTTATCCCAATTTTCCCAGCACACGATACATATAATGGTTGAAAAAGTATTCAAAGTTGAGGTATAACCACAGAATAATGATTTAGAAATAAGAAAGTAAAAATCCTATACCTAGCTTCCATCTTTGATCATTGTTCTGCTTTTGTACTCTGTGGGGGGAAAGGATTTTGTTTCAAAACACAGCTTGTATAAATCAAATACAATCGACTGGGCTCTAGGAGAGTTGTTGATGGCTGCAGTGCATAGTCAATAAAGTAACTCACCTGTCTTGATTGTTGCAGAAAAAAATGAAGTAATGTACTACATAATTTAGTGCCATCTACCGGCCATGCAGGGGAAACATTTGGTTCAGTTTTTAAACTGAACACTTCAAAGGGCGTCTTAAAAAGCTGTGATTGAGGGATTTGATTCAAGGCCAATTCAATAACATCACCAAACTGAGTTTCTGAAAGTCAGATTGATTATCAAATCGATGTGACAATTCATAAAAATCAAATTATCATTCAGAGCCATACATACACAGTGGCAGAGCCATGTTATGACCTCACGCTCTACTATATGTATGGAGTTTCATCTTTAATAGGCAATCTTTGCAAGCACATATACTTAAGAGCACCAGCTCATAAAAAATAGCAGATAATTCCTCACACATGTATTTTGCTACTGAAGAGCCAGACACCAATTTTAGACTCCTATACAACACAATAAACAATGCAGGTTTTTTTTCACCTGAATATGGAACTTCTCAGGGGGAATTACTTTTGAATAAACCTGATTCAGATCCCATTGACTTAGCTTACAGTAATAAATGTTTAGAAAGCCAGTTTGGTGTAGTGGTTAAGAATCAGGCTAGAAAGCAGGAATCCTTAAGTTCTGGTCTTAGCATCAGGATTCAAGCAGTTACTCCAATTAAATCATGAGCCTCAAGCCACACTCCCAAAACTAAAAAGGATTTATTAGAAGTTAACATTCCGGCATTAGCCTGGGCGTAGCCAATTCTGAGATAGGTAATTTACTGTCACCCTTGATCCTGCTTCTTCCACCCCACCCCTCTGGGTGTATCATCCAATGAAACACATCCATAGCCAAGAGTCATCAACCATGCTCTCCAATTTGATTTTTGTGCAGCAGAAACTTCAGTCATCTAATCAGTCTCTGAAGAAAATATGAATGGAATGTACTTTTGATTCCACACTGCTGCCTGCTCTTTGAAACTCCCCCCCTTCTTTCTGTTGACAACTATAAAACATGTATACAAAATGTTTTATGAGTTGACATTTGGCTCCCCTCACTTGAAGGTGACCTGTACAACACACAAAAAAACAAATTGATTGCAGATATGGAAGCTTATGCTCACAAACCCTCCCCCCCCAGGCTTGGTTGGATTTTCTGCATGGAACCTTGCTACAAGGCGATCAGCTTGGACATTCCTACTCTTTACCCATGATGCCTCTTTACCTCATTATGCCACTTGATTGGAGTTGTCTCCTGTGCCACCTCGAATCGAGGATTCACTACACCTCATAATGTGTTTGACCTCCTATGACCACAGGATCTAGGGGCTCATGAGGTAGGGGCCTCAGGGTTGATCCAACCATAGGTTTTAATAGGCTACTATGGAATACCGGGTGTATTTTCCCTAATAATCAGGGCAACTTCAATTGCACCGTGACTGGGTTGATGATCTTTACTATGGGGAATGGTCCCATGAACTTTGGCCCCAATTTCTTGCTAAGGAGTCTTAACCTCAGATATTTGGTGGAGAGATAGACCTTCTCCCCCAACTGGAATGGTCATTGCAGGGCTCGGTGTTTGTCTGCCTGTCTCTTATAGGTCTGTGCCACTTTTGCCAGTGCTTTTTGGACATTCTCCCAATGCTCAGGCATTGGGACAAAGTCTATGCCACTCACTACCTTGAAGGGGTTAGTCCCATGCTACTGTGAACAGCATTATTGTACACGACCTTCATGAAAGGCAGGAGGTTTGCCCAAGTGGACTGCTGATAATTCATGTAGCACTTCAGATACTGCTCTACCATGGCCTTCAATCTTTCCATAGCCAACTCTGAGATATGTAATTCACTGTCACCCTTGATCCTGCTTTCCCCAGCCCCACCCCTCTGGGTGTATCATCCAACGAAACATGTCCATAGCCAAGAGTCATCAATCATGCTCTCCAATTTGATTTTTGCACGGTAGAAGCTTCAGTCATCTAATCAGTCTCTGAAGAAAATATTAATACTTTCAATTCTACACTGCTGCCTGTTCTTTGAAACTCCCCACCACCACCAACTTCTTTCTGTTGACAACTATAAAACATGTATACAAAATGTTTTATGAGTTGACACCTACCTTAAGTACAAAGCTAGCTAGCTGGATGATCTGGGGCCAGTCACTTTGAGGAAGTGCCTAGAAAAAAGGCAATGGCAAGCTACTTGTGAAAAACTTTGCCAAGGAAACTGCAGTGAGTTTTCAGGTAGTCTGCAAGAACCAAACAAAAATGAATAGAAGGGGGAGAAAGTATGTTTCAAATAATTACAGCTTTTAAGCATAATTATTAGATGTTTATAAAACAGATTTAACCCATAAAGCCTTAGTGGTTATGAGCCACGGTGGCACAGTTGTTAAAGTGCAGTACTGCAGGCTACTTCTGCTGCCTGCAATTTGGCAGTTCATATCTCAGCAGGCTCAAGGTTGACTCAGCCTTCCATCCTTGAGGTGGGTAAAATGAGAACCCAGATTGTTGGGGGCAATATGTTGACTCTGTAAAAACTGCTTAGAGAGGGCTGTAAAGCATTGTAAAGCAGTATATAAGTCTAAGTGCTAACTGTTATTGCTAGTTGCATTTACAAAACATGCTAAGCAAGTTTTTGCTCAGTGTCTTAATTTGATTTATAAACCCACTCTCATGGTTAGCTTATGGTTGAAAGGTTTTTATGTACCCAGAAAATTTTACAGATCATAACAGGTAGGAGCTGCTAGCCAACCTCGAAGGTTTTGAAAAAAAGTTAAACAGGTACTGATTAGTACTTGAACTTAGTCAGAAAACCCTTCTGAACTTTGCTTAGACCATAAATTGACATATATGTGTCAATTTTCATGACCAGGGTCAATCAAGTAATGATAACTTTTGGGCTGAATGGCTGTGTTCTAGTTTACTACTTTGGCATACTACAAAGCAGTTCACTCTGATTCTAAAGATACTAGCCATATCTGTAAGCAAATCATCAAGATATAAAAAAGAACTGGACTGCAGTCATTCAAATATTCATCACTGTCAAACTATGAATTTGATAGTAATGCAAGTGGGTAATGCAAAGCATTTTTGGAGGAGAAAACAATATGGTAGGTCCATAATATCATCAAGAACAGTGCTTGATGCAAATTTCAAGTGAAGGATATTGTTTGAACATAAGCCCTAAAGAAGCAAGTGTCACTTATGACTTAATGCATTATGACTTAATTTTAAAATTATCCTTTGCCCTTTCTGCTTGCTTTTGAGAATCCCAAGCTCTGCATATCATAAACTATACTCAGTCATTTTTTTTATCTGAGTAGCTCACTGGATGATTTGAAATAGATCAAAATATTTCTTCTCACTTCTAATTGTTTTATAATATGTGAATATCCTAGACCTATTATTCTCTTGTTCTCGGTTCCAACAAGAGCATAATAGGTATACAGGCAGGCAGGCAGGCAGGCAGCAGGTAGACTTGTCTGATTTTGTATCTAAGAGAATATCCAACCTCTTTTAGATAGATATGCTCAAATATATTTAAAAAAAAAACACATTCTGTACAACCTCTCCCAGATATGTATGCTCAAGTATAACAAAAGCAGTAACTAAAAACTTTAAAATCTCAGTGGTTATTTTAATTAAAAATCACACATAACTTAGGAAAATGTTTCATATGAGTGGCAGTTTCTAGAACCTAAATCCAGTTATTAATCACGCACTGACTAGCTATACTCCGGGCTTCCTGTTTCTCATTGTCATTCATAATCACCACAACCAGGAAAAAATGCAGAGGTTCCGGATTGTAACTATACAGTAGTTACCTATATATGGATAATAACCTCCAGCTGCCTAACTTATTTTTCCTTGGAAAACGGGGGAAAGCAGTGCCTGGGATTAATCAAACAATGGTAGCTACACTACAATGGAGAAAATGAATTGATTATATCATCTTTACATAAATTAAAATATTGCCTATTATGCAGGAGCCCTAAAGGAGATTCAATTTTAGATGTTGAATCTAGAACTTTCTTCATACAAACCATGAGGGCCATTTCCAAAATGCTTTTTTTTTTTTGGCAGTTCAGGAAGATTGGTTTTAAACAGAGTTTGCTGGAGTCTTGGAAACATACTTATCCAAATGTGTTTGAGGAAGCAAATGCTCCCTTGCAGTTTTATTCTCAAGTTGTTCAGAAATGTGCAGCCTATATGTAGAACATGACTGCCACTCAGTGGCCACTGGATGCTTTGTTCTGGCTTAGTTGGTTCCGGGGGGGGGGGGGGGGGGGAGTTTTCTGCCATAAAAAGGGTTCAAAACTAAGCTTGAGATCAACACAACTTTGTATATAACTTGCATATTGTTTAAATACTTGAAATATGCTTTTTGAAAGATAGCTGAGTTTCCGTTCATACTTCGATGAGAAAATGTTTATACTTGTATGGAAAGAAATGAATTTCTCCCATTGATAATAGAAGTAAGGAGGAGCAGGAGAAAGAAATTACCACACTCATGAGAGAAGCACATTGGTTGCATCTTATTCAAGAACTTTCCAAACCTGGTGCTATGGGCAATGGTCTCTGACAATACTGTAACCAGGATTGTTGATAATACTATCCTTCTTATGTCAAACTCTTTATCCTCATTCCACAGAAGCCTGGATCGCCTTGATTCTGTTGAGATCCTTTTACCACCAAAATTTCCAAGCTGGGAGGAAGAATACAATCAAATCTCAGAAAACCTGGATGAGTCCAGTTGCATCAATCAGGTGAGAGTCAACAACAGCTATCCACAAAACACAACAAAAACCATTTTCAAAGGAAGAAGTGAGACAAGAGAGAAGCTTTTTTTTTCAAAGCCAAAAAAAGGCTGCTTTACAATAGACTTTCCAGCTTTGGTGGTCTCTAGATATGTGTTGGATAGAGAATTATGGGCAGTGAATTCTACACATCTGGAGAGTTCTAAATTGTTAAAGGCTACTCTACAAAATTTCAGAAGGAAAACCTAAAGATAATTTTGCATTTCCAGATGTGAAGTAGAATACTTTCATTTTCTATCACACTTTTATTTGAAACTCTTCTCTTTCTCTTCACACATGAATACTATACAAATAGCTGCAAGAGATTACTACTATAGGGTATATAGATGAGAATGTAACTAATAATAAATATATTTAAAGTGCATTTATGAAATTTTATCTTTATAGTCAGATATTTTCACTACACTTAATCAGCTCATCTATTTCCTGCATGGCATACCTGCCTATGCACAATTCACATATAATATGGTTCTCATATAACCATGTTATAAATGGGCCAAATTGCTGGATTCTTCTTAGAAGTTCACAGAAGCACCTGAGGAGAGAAAGATATTGGGCTACGTAGAATTTTCAAGTCTAACACATCACAGCTCTTAATATGTTCTTAAAATACTTCCCTGTAACATATTAATTACTAGACATACTGTCTAAAATTTCCTAATAAACATTTAAGATTACAATAATTGCATTAATTGTAGCCATCAAGTGTTGCATATAATAAAATAAGGAATATATTTGTAGCACAGAATTGTCACATAGAGAAATCTAGTTCAGAGTTCCATCTAGATTGCCCTTTTTCAGTTATTTCTTTTCATTCTAAATTATTTTCTAATCACTGAGAATGCTCCATCTTTCTTGGGTTTGGTCTTCTTATCCCCTCACTTTTTCAGACATTTTTCTCCCTAAAGTTTATTCCATTTTTGGAAATCTTGAGCTTCTCCTGAACTTATTTGATACCAAAGGAAGTTTGTACAGACAATGACCATTCAGATTTATGAGAGTGCTGAAAAAAGTGAATTGTGACCAATCCTCTCACTTATGACTGTTACAGTCAAGTGATCAAAATGTGCGTACTTGACAACTAGCACATATTTATGACATTTGCTGCATCCTAGGGTCCCATGATTGCCATTTACAAACTTCCCAAGAGGCTTCTGACAAACAAAGGAAGAAGCCAAATTCACTTAACAATTGTGATTCACCTACCAACTGTAGCAAAACAGATTGTAAAATCAGGTGTCACTCACATAATGACATCACTTAACCCAACTGTGATCCTATGTTGAAGACTATCTATTTGTAAGAAAAATTGCTACCTAAACAAGCACATGAGAGGGGAAAATGAGGTCTTTGTTTGAAAGATAAAAGACTCCTGCCAGATAAGAACAATATTCCATATAATCTAGCGTGTGGTCTTGGATTAGAGATTATCCTATGCTTCAAGAAGGCTAATAAATTGAATTGACAGGTTCTGTTGTTGATTATTGCCCAAACAGCCAATATTTCAATGGAGCTTCAATTTACCTAGTAGCTATTAATTATTTAGTTTCATAAGTTTGTTTCTACCCACTTTATAGCCATCAAACCAATAGCAGTCAGACAGCAAAGTTCCCTGTTCCTAATAAGGTACCATCCAGGAGACTTCTGATGAAATTGTGGCTCATAAATGCCAGAAAGAGTATAATAGATTAACAGAGTTGGAAGGGTCCTTGTAGGCCATCTAGTCCAACCTCCCACCCAAGCAGGAGACCTACACCATTTCTGACAGATGGCTGTCCAGTCTCTTCTTGAAAGCTTCCAGTGATGAAATTCCCACGACTTCTGAAGCCATTCCACTGGTTGACTGCTCTCACTGTCAATTTCTCCGTATTTCGAGGTTGAATCTCTCCTTGTTCAGTTTCCATCCATTATTCCTTGTCTGGCCTTCGGGTGCTTCAGAAAATCACTTGAACCCTTCCTTTCTGTGGTAGCCCCTCAATTATTGGAATACCGCTATCATGTCTCCCTGATCCGTCTCTTCACTAGACTAGCCATGCCCAGTATAAACAGCACATCTGCTTTATGTTATGGCAGTGATTATTCTTCCTACAGATACTTTTAATTTGTAGTACAATTAGAAAGGAAAGATTATACATTTTTTGCTATCTTTTAATGCAGTAGCATGTTGTGTGATACTATTCAGATATGGATAGTTAAATTTCTTCAGACTATAGATATCTGGCAGTTCTACTAAGTGGAAAGATAGCAAAGATCAAGATTACTGTTTTCAGTTCAGTAATCAAGTTGAATGTAGAACTAGGGAAGATCATAATCAGCCTAATAACCAGATGCTGTGGATGGTCAATTAGGCTGAGAGTCAGAGAAGCCATAAACATGAGCAGAATAACACAATGAAACAAGCTGGAATGACAGGGTACGGAAAAATGTGAAATAGAATTTGATAAGGAATAATTAGATTCTACTCCTTTCACATTCTTCATTTCCTTGTATACTTCTTCAGAATCTTCATACTATATTTCCATATTTCCAATTACTTTGATATATTTTCCAAGTAATAACCCTTCAGAAGCAAAGAACGTGCTGCCTGCCATCTGCCCCGTCACTTATTTCTAAGATGGAAATTATATAAATTAGATGATGGATGGATAGAGACCAACAGACAGACATCCACATGATATTTTGTAGCTCTTTTCTTAAACTCTGGTGTTCTCACTGATGAGCATAACGAAATTTCTCTCCAACAACCAATAATGTCTTGAAGCATCTGGCCTGGAAAAATCTAGGTGGTACATACATACAGCTCACTTTGCTACTACCTAGAGCAGCCTCTTCCTCCATTGCACTTCATTAATCCTCTGAGAATTGGTCAATGACATATAATCTTTACCACTGGAGAAATTACTTTGGCTACTGGCAGTTATATTCTGAAATATTGGTCGCAAACTAGATTGTCCCTGATGCTGCAACGATCCTGAAATCCTCAACATTGTTAAACATAAACTTTGAGATCACTACTTCTAAACCTCCTATTTCAGAATTTTCCCATTTGGAACAACAACATTATTATGTCTCTCTTTTGTGTCAATCTTCATGATGCTGCTTTCATTTCTTCCCCAAACTGTTCCTGAGATAGCCTCAAGTCCTCCAGAGCTTTTCCAGTTTTAAAATAGGGTTTTCCCTCATAAACAGACAAGTCATAGTCCCTGGACACACATTCTAACTTAGGTAGTGAAAGAATCTGAATATTTCAAAGCAGCTTATTCTCCTGGTTCCAGAAGACCTTCAAACTATTTCTCAACGCAAACTATTTCAGTTTGAAAATAGGATCATCCTGAACATCGGCTTATAGGGACTTGAAGAGCTGTATCATAGGGGAGAGAGAGGAGGGAGGCTTGTAAGACATGCTGCTGTTAGCCATAGGTTTAATGTGCTTCTGAAGAACTCTAAACATGTGTTTAAATATACTTACTTAATAGCTAAGAAGTGTGAAGGAGATAGAGCCTGCCTCCCTCAGCATTTGCCATCTGAGGCAATCATATCATTTTGCCTAAAGATAGAGATAGCTCTGGGTGAGATTTTGACACAGTTGTTAGGTTTGTAATATTGAGATTATGAAAAAGAAAAACCTGGAAACTGAACCTCATCATTGAGATATCTCAGTTGGTTCAAAAGTTTTACAAGATTAGTAATCAGGCAACAAACTTTTGAATATAAAGACCTTATACTTCATTACATGTTGAGGAAGGACATCATTAAAGAGTAGTTATTCAAGTGTAGAATTGGGAGATCAACATTGTCACAACTGTACTAGAGATTATGGGTGATGGACAGCAAAATTAGATATCCTGGTAAGATTCAATTTTGGCTTATGAAAACATTTTTGTTTTTGTGATGTTTGTCAAAATTTTTCATTTGTCAGTTTCTCAAATTATTTTTTCTACAAAATATTTTGGGAAGTTTCTTGGAATCCTGAAAAAATGTCACATTAGTTTTGTCCAGTGAGTAGCAAATGTTGTCTATGTCCTGGATAAATTCAGTGAAGAATGAGTTTGTTTGTCTTCTGTTAAAATTAATAGTTATGTTGATCTGACCTAGAATTCAAGTGATAGCCTTGCCTCTGGCTTATTCCTCCAAACAACATTGTCAAAATATTTCCTAAGTTACATATCGTTTCAGGCTTTTCTATAAAATTTGGGCAAGCTCCTAAGAATAAATATTTTTCTTTAGACTGACTACTGGCTAGACTATTCTTGGGCTTATTGTATGCCTGACTTTAGTTAGGAACCTACCATGGAGTAAATGAAACATTAGGTATGTGATAGCATTGGGCGAAAATAAAATAGTGGTTGCTATCTAGTGCTAATTAGAATACTGTTGCTGCCTTGTGCTGTCATTTCAGGGTGAGTCTGAAGAGTCCTAAGGATAACCATTGTAACTAAGATACACTAGGATATATTTCTAGGGCCTTTTCAAGCCTAAAGTTAGTTCTGCATTTTCAACCAGAGTTGGTTGAAAGATGGGCATCCATATAAATATTTAAAAATAATAATGTTGTGTTGCTTGTTATAAATTTATTGCTGTTGATATAATAACATCAATGGTGTTCCAAAGTATTTTACAGCAAACTTAGAATCAGAACCTTAGAGTCAACTTCCTGATAATCTCTAAGTTAAGTTTTTAAATTATACAAAGGTGTTCTGCTTCTACTTTTAGAACATTGTGGACAATTTGTGGTTCTTGACTGTCCCTAGAAGCTTTAGATCTCGTTCTTGAGATCAAAATGTACTCTAAATTATAATGTTCAGAATCAGAAAGCAAAAGAGAAAGACTATTATATATGTGTCTGAAATGTAATCAGACAAAATATATGTAAATTTTTAATGCAAATGAAATAGATTTAGTGTATTCCCTGGCCTCATTCAACAAGAAGAACCATAGAAGGTCTCTTTTAAAATGGTCCAATTAATATATACAAGCTATACCCTAAATCAGGGGTCTTCAAACTTGGCAGCTTTAAGACTTGTGGACTTCAACTCCCAGAATTCCTCCTCCAATCATGTTAGCTCAGGAATTCTGGGAGTTGAAGTCCACTAGTCAAATTTGAAGACCCTTGCCCTAAATCATGAAAAACATATCCAAAGAAAATACTTTAAGGTTGTCATGAAACATGATCTTTATAAAAGTGATAAGGATCTTCAAATTAACCACATTAAGCTTTCTTAAGCTATTTCAAAATGTGGGGTAAATTTTGTAATTTGGAAAAAAATGTTCACCATGTGCATAAATAAAATTTCATTTGATAACCTTTTTAATTTCCACACATGCATCAGAAAACAGGTTTTCTACTGAAAAGACGATGAATAGCAGTTTTCTATCACAATCTGATTAACATAGCACTAAAAAGATCTTGGATTGACCCCAGTACTTTTCTGAATGGCTCACCAAGGTTATCTTTCTCATCTTCATAAATCATGTTTGGGTTCAATGCTTGTTCCCAAGTTGTTAAAACTGGGAAGAAGCCTTCAAACAAGCATTCCTCCCTCATCATTTTCCATCCATCTTTTATCTGCCAGTTTCCACATTTTATCTTTCTTTGAAACTTATCTCAAATACAGGATTTGCAGTGACACAAGTGAGTTACAAACTGCAATTGTCCTTTTTTTCATTTCTGGAATATACACCTTGTCAAAGTAATCAGGCTTAATGTCAACTGGGGCATATTTATACAATTGGCAAGTTCTTCTGGATCAAGCAAAACTATCTCTTATGAGATGTTAATTATGAGAGGATGAGATTACATAGATATTGAGTGGGGAGGGGAAGGATTTAAAAAGTATGAACTAATTGGAAGCCCCACTAATAAAATCAACAGTTGACATGTTTTTAAATCCAGCAACATTTTTTCCATTTAATACATTACAGGTACTCTGCTAAAAGTAGTTTTAAGTGTACCAAAAAGCAGAAAAGGAAATTGGTAGGCTGTTTTTACTGTTAACATTTCCTCAAAGTTTCCAGAATTTGAAAGTAAATAGTCATTGCTAAATGATATTGAATTCTTTAGGAGAAGGTCTAGGACAATTTGCCACCATTGCCTCACCCCCATCACCTCTCCCCAGCCAACTCAATGTGGGACAATTCACCCTGGTTGACTCAATGTGGCACAACTCACACAGGATGGACCACTCTTCCACAAGGAGGAGAAGATGGTGGCTCCTCTCACTTCTGGCATTCTCTCATGGTGAGCTGTTCCATGGCAGGGGAAGGAGAGAGGGAGGGAGGAAAGGGAGACCATTTCCTTCACCTCTGGCATTCTTCCGCAGTGAGTTGTCCCACAGTAATCTGCCTGGGACAAGCCAGCCAGGCCACACTAGTGGCAGCAAGCCAGCGGCAGCAAGTTTCCCCTTTCCATTAGGAGAAGTACATGCTGATCTCATTACATTTTTTTGTGATTCTATAATGAGATAGGTTTAGGTAAACTAAAACCACCCACTGCTGGATCTATCCACTCCACTCTTAGTTGATACCATACAGGGTTTTATATGAATACCGCTTCACTTAGATAGTTAAGGTTGACATTGGCTGATGCCTTTATGGTAGAGTTGATGGAAATGCTATAAAGCTGTTAGCATTTATTTCTTGTTGAAGTACAGATGGGCCTTTTCAAATATATAGTAGAAGGGTCTGTCCCTGAATACCTATTTTAAGGAAAGCTGAAAGGAGAAGATCAGTTTATCTAATCCATCACTTTAATAATTGGAGGACAGCACTCTTTGTTATTTGATCTTTAAATTCCCATCTTCTGAACATATAAATACTTCTGCCAAATCCATCTGAGGTTTGTAATCAATATAAAATTTCAGTGCAATGCAACTCAGATGCATACTTGAAATCAATATATTCTAGTTAGATTCTTTTTTCTGTTTACAGCTTTCTTCATAGATACATATGGTTAACTCTGTGCAGATATAGTTAGAAAAAAAGAAGGAAAGGAATTTGATTCATATGTTAACAGTAGCCAGACTAAGAAGAGAGCAGAGAGACTATTTGACATGAAGAATCTGTTTTTAATCATAACTAATATTATAGTCCATATTATTTTACACTGCATTCAGTGTGTTTTCTGCCTTGATAACCCTAATCAAAGTTTGGTAAAAGAGACAATTAAAATGTTGAATAACTTTAATTACTCAGTTCTAATAGTGTAGGAAAAATTCTGCCCCAATATTGTGGAGTCAAATATTTTGGTTGTGTTCCAAAAATACTATTTTCAAATAATATCATTTTTATTTAGATTTCATTCCCTAACAGCTTAGTGGAAATTAGAGAGAAAGCTAATTGTCTTATGTAGTTTTAATTTTATTGAAATGTTAATTTTATCTAGGGATGTAACCTTTTAAGTTTTGTCTTATTGTGTTTGATCAGTTATCAGAAGAGCAGCTCATTCTTCTGGATGTGGATGTCACAGGTTAAAATTGTTCCATGGTTACCATTGTCACTGTGGTCCTGTTGAATGCTTTTGAAGCAAAGCAGCGAAATCACAATCCCTTATGCTTTAATCTTCTCCAACTCTTTCTTCCAGATATTTGGACAATCCTCATTTATTCCACAGATATTTACACAAGAAGAGCAGGTACCGTCTATCTGACAATCTTCTAATGCCACTTAACATGATACCATACTGACATTACTTTACGTATACTAAGATGAGAGCAAAAAGAAAAGCAAGATGTAGTCCTTCTCAATATTCACATTTTTTCTAAATTTCTATTTAAAAATGCACATATTAGGAAGGTTATGTGCAACCTACAGAAGAAGGTATACAGCAAGAAAAATTAATTAAAAATTGTGCATATGAGTTAGAAGGTGCTGACCCATTTTCATTTAAGAAAATTCAGAAGGATAGAATCAACTTATGCTTGAACAAAATGTGAAATTTACCAAAAAGTGAAACATGGATTTATTCCTTATATTATATAAAGTTCTGACATTTCCTGTTCTCTTTTCAGCTCACTTTTCATTGAAAGTACTTTTCCCTTTTTGCCTTTCAATGAAACCACAGCAAATATCATATCAATCTTTTCATAGTGTAGATTGATATGACTAAAGATCAATACATTTGAATGACAACTTATGAAGTGTGAGGTAGAAACAAAGTCATCAGGATGCCAGGAAAGAAAAAAAGAAAAGTGGCAAGGAAGGTTAAAAGAGCAACCATATTGCTCAGTTTACTATTACCACAGTATTGGAAATCAATGCCAAGTCTGAATGACAAATATCATACCCAAATAGCCCAGAGGCAGAATTATAGTTGAAAAGAATGAGGGGCAAAGACCATCTAGAAGAATACAATAGGAAATATTAGCTCTAGCTTGCAGTAGCACCACAAATAATTTGGAAAAAAGTTTATAAAATGTTGAACATTAAGAAATTAAAAATGCAGGCTTTAGAAAAAATGGATAGAATATATTATTTCTAAGTATAGACATGATCCAGGATTAGAAGATTTGGATTTTCTCACCAGAGATTACAGAGGAAAGCTTAAGAGTTTTAAATGAAGATTTAAATGAAGACCATTACAACATATTTTTACTTGAAGTCAAAAGAGTCATCAAACTATATGTACCAACAACAACTCCCCAAACAAAAAAAAGATTACCCATAACAATAAGGAAACTTCAATCCAAAAAGAGACCACTCTGGCGGAAAAACAAATCTGGTCACGTTGCCAATTTCAAAAGCCAATACAAAAATTTATGCCAGCAGATAAAGACTGAATGCACCAATTATCACATTAAACAAGAGGAAAACCTTCTATGCACCAATTCCACCCGCGCTTTTTACAACTTTGTAAACAACAAACTAAAAGACTCAAGGTCCATCCCACAACTGATAAGACCTAATGGTAAAGACTGCAATGACGACACCATTAAAGCCAACATCTTTAATACATTCTCCAGCTCAGTATTTGTAAACAGCAATGGATCATGCCCAGTATTTCCTAGCCGAACCACTGACAACTACAATGATCTAATACATATTGATTTTACAGAAGACAATGTTGAAAAAGCACTACGCAATCTAAAACCATCTCTATCTATTGGACCGGATGGAATAGGTGCCTACTTCTTAAAAAAGCTATCCACTACCATAGCCGAACCTCTAAGCATAATCTTTGAAAAATCTTTCAGGACCAGCTCCTTGCCTAACCTATGGTCACAAGCCACAGTCATCCCCATCTTCAAAAAGGGAGACCCCAGCCTAGTTGAAAATTACAGACCAATCTCCTTATGCTGCAAACCTGTAAAGTCATGGAATCAATTATTAACCAATCCATTATCCTCGATTTAGAGACAAACAACCTCCTCTCCAATAAACAATTTGGTTTCAGGAAAAAACTATCCTGTAATCTGCAACTCTTACGCTGCAAAAACATATGGACTACACAAGTCGATCAGGGCAAAGCAACAGACGCAATCTACATGAACTTCTGTAAAGCTTTTGATAGAGTGGTACACAACAAACTACTCCTAAAACTAAAATCTTATGGTATCTCTGGACAAATGCATAACTGGATAGAAGCATTCCTGTCAAACAGACAACAAATGGTCAAAATTGGGAGTGTCCTATCAAATTCTATACCTGTCAATATTGGTGTCCCCCAAGGCAGTGTTGTAGGACCAATTCTTTTCATACTCTACATAAATGACCTGTGTGATCATATTAAGAGCAACTGCGTTCTTTTCGCTGATGATGTAAAGCTGTTCAATACCACAGACAATATTGCTACCCTTCAAAAAGATCTTGACTATGTATCAGAATGGTCAAACAAATGGCAACTTCAAATCTCAACAAATAAATGCTCTGTCTTCCATATTGGCAAAAAAAATCCGAAAATAAAATACAAGTTGAATAGTCAAGATCTTGTTGATGATCCAAGCTCTGTAAAGGACCTTGGAATACTCATCTCTAATGATCTAAGTGCTAGAGCCCACTGTAACTACATAGCCAAAAAGGCATTAAGAGTTGTTAACCTAATCCTACATAGCTTTTTCTCTGGTAATATCACACTAATAACTAGAGCATACAAAACATTTGCTAGACCAATACTTGAATACAGCTCATCAGCCTGGAACCCACATTACGTATCTGATATTAGCACAGTTGAAAAAGTCCAGAAATATTTCACAAGAAGAGTTCTCCACTCCTCTACTCATTGTAGAATACCTTATGTCACCAGACTTGAAATTCTAGACCTAGAAAACCTTGAATTACACCGTCTTCAGTCTGATCTAAGTATGGTATATAAAATCATACATTGCAATGTCCTACCTGTCAATGAATACTTCAGCTTCAACCATAACAACACAAGAGCACACAATAGATACAAACTCAAGGTTAACCGCACCAAACTTGATAGCAGGAAATACAGCTTCAGCAACAGAGTGGTCAATGTCTGGAATATTCTACCTGACTCTGTGGTTTCTTCCCCAAACCCCAAAAACTTTAACCTTAGACTGTCTACTATTGACCTCACCCCTTTCCTAAGAGGACTGTAGGGGGGCGTGCATAAGCGCACCAACGTGCCTACCGTCCCTGCCCTATTGTTTCTTTTATTTTTCTTATATGTACCCATTTCATGTATTCATAACTATGTATATATTTATACCTATTATCTTGTAAGCAATTGACAAATCAAATAAATAAATAAATAAATAAATAAATAAATAAATAAAATTTCTGGTTAAAAAAATCTACTTTTTCTATATCACAGCCTTGACATGTTAACATTCTCAGTTATGAACATTCCATGGATACATGTAATGAAATCCTCAAATCATTTTATCATAGATGTGAGCTAATTTCATACATCCCTTCTTGTTGGTGAGCCATCAAGCTATATTCCATTCAAAAGTTATGTACGTTGATCCAATGCATACTTGTTGAATTTCCTTAATTTGTTGCTGCCTTAATGATAATACAAAATACATTTTGCAGGCCAGAATGATGTAAAATGTATAGCTTTCTGGGTCACAAGTTGTTCAGCCCCTACTGGAAAACAAACAATCTTTCCTTGCACCAAAAAAACTCCAAAGTGTCTTCAATTAAGAGTTGAACAGATAATTTGCAGCTAATGTACTCCATACAGGGCCTGTCCAAACTCTTTTTATAGATTCTGGAGCCCTGTAAGATTCAGAAGCAAATCACTGAACTACTGAGAGCTATTTCCCCCTGACTTATCAGTTGAAAACAAAATAAAATTGATGTGTTAAGCCTCAAGATAGGCTTAATACAGCTAGAAAATTGAGGGAAATTATCCATTTCCTTCAACAGAACAGACTCTCAATCCCAGGATTGCTGTACTTAGAGATGTCATTATGCAATAGCCTTGTCCGTTGTGGCCTTGTGCTGCCCCAAATTAAGAAATAATAAAAAGCAAGGCCCCCCTTGGCAATGAAAAGTTGACATGAATTAAATATAAGAAATGTACTTACAGTAAAGAGAGCTTATGAAATATAGGGAACTGGTGACACTTTTGATGAAAACTGACCAGCTGTATCCTTGCAGACAACAGAAGAAGAGCTGAATGATCAATATGAAGGTATGTGTGAATCGGCTTACAGTGAAGCAGAATCAGCTGCTGTGGAAGTACTGGAGCTGCCTCTTCCCAGCTACTTCCGTTCCCGGAGCCACAGCTACCTCCGAGCTATCCAGGCAGGTTGCTCCCAAGAAGAGGACACCGTCTCTGTTCAGTCCCTCTCGCCACCCCCAGCCAGCACCATCAGTGGCAGCCAAACACTTCCCAGCAACAACAGTAAGTCAGAATTTCTTTTCTTTCTTTTTTACTATGCTTGGATTATACGAAGCTAAGAAATTTATTTGCCATGGTTTGGGAAGTATTTGATGAGCTTGGAAAGAGAATTTTGAAAAGAACTTACAAAAGAAATTTGTAGAAATTTGCCCAAAACAGACTGAGATAGGATGATAAACTGATTTTCCAGAATTAACATTTCCTTCAAGAATTCACTCTTATTTTTATATAATAAGTCATGGCTTTTCAATGCAGCCTTTCCCGATATAGTGCCAGCCAATGGGAATTCTAGATATATATATATTCAGAATTTCTTAAAAGTATTATTTTGAGAGACAGAGAGAGAGAGAGACAGAGAGAGAGAGACAGAGAGAAAGAGAGAAAGAGACACAGAGAGAAGTATATGGTATTATGTGACATATAATTTTTATTAGAATTAGAATTCTTTATTGGCCAAGTGTGATTGGACACACAAGGAATTTGTCTTGGTGCAAATGCTCTCAATATACATAAAAGAAAAGATACATTTGTCAAGAGTTAAGAATTATAACGTACAACACTTAATAATACTCATAAGGTACAATAAGCAATCAAATCATACTAGGAAACAGTCAATATAGATCGTAAGGATACAAGCAACAAAGTTACAGTCATACAGCCACAAGTGGGAGAGGATGGGTTATAAGGAGTGATGAGAAGATTAATAGTAATAGTAGTGCAGACTTTGTAAATAGTTGGACAGTGTTGAGGAATTTCTTTCTTTAGCAGAGTGATGGTGTTCAGGGAAAAACTGTCCTTGTGTCTAGTTGTTCTGGTGTGCAGTGCTGTATAGCATCATTTTGAGGGAAGGAATTGAAACAGTTTATGTCCAGGATGTGAGGGGTCTGTAAATATGTTCACAGCCCTCTTTTTGACTCGTGCAATATACAGGTCCTCGACTGAAGGTAGGTTGGTAGTAATTGATTTTTCTGCAGTCCTAATTATCCTCTGAAGTCTGTGTCTGTCCTGTTGGGTTGGAGAATCAAACCAGACAGTTATAGAGGTGCAGATGATAGACAAAATGAAATATTTTTGGTAGGAGTAACTACCACTGAACATAGTGATAGTTATAACTAGCCTTAGGGCAGCCATCCTAAACATATGTATTAGATTATTTTACAATGGATTATAAATTACCTTACATACAGTGAAAAAGTTTAACATACAAATTTGATCGATCATCATCATCTTCCCATTAACATGGGACTAGGACTTCATGTTGGCAGTGTCACATCTGCTCTTTTCTTCCAAATTGCTGCAACTATAATAATTACAAAGATACTGTTTTGTAACTGTTATCTCAGATATTAACTCTGCCTTATAACTACAATTAGATTACTGTAAATTGCGTTTATCTAAATCTTGCTGAATGAAGCAGAAGATGGTAACGTTGATTCTATAAGAAATCTCATGAAAAGCTGAACCCTCCCTTTGGGTTCCGCCATTTAGCCACTTCTTACAAAGAGCTGAATTGTGTTGCTTATCCTACAGGAAGATCTCACCCAGCAATTTTTGAAAGTAATGTAACTGCTGTGGAAAACTAAAGGCAAGGCAATCAGGCAATAGATCATCCTCCTAATCACCAGGCAAAGGTTCAGAACAGGGTGGAAGCAAAGATTTACTTCTGGCTATGAACTGGAAGAACCACTCCACTTCCTAAAAAAAATACCCTTGTTTCTCTTTGCAAAGCACTCTGGCTTGTTGACAGTGTTTCACAGAAACTCTATGTTAGCACTGACAGGGAACTGAAGCTTAATACCTTAAAGCAGATTTATTTTATGTGGTAGCCATCCTAACTTTCCGCTCAGCTACCTTGCAATAGACCCTCCATTCCTTTCTCTTATTTTTCTCCTAGTTGGATTCAGGTCCAGTATTTTGAGCCTGGGCTGAAAAAAAAAATAGCCCTGGGAGAGAGACTGCAGGAGCGTAGAAATGGGTGAGCAGACGTCTAGTTTATTTTCCCAAGGACAGTTGCAACACTTGTGGGGAATTCTATTCCAATTGGTTGATAACAAAATTTTGTCACATGGCTAAGCTAGCTATGATGAGGGACACTAAGTGTTCTCAAAACATCTGCTTGAGCACAGTGCACTACCAAGTCTTCATCCACCCTTAATCCTCTAACTCATTACTAAAACCTTTCCCCAACAGATGGGTGGAACCACACCCACAGCAACTACTTTTCTGCTGAGCTCATTGATTGCAGCAGCGGCAAGTCATTTGAAGTGTATATCTCAAGATCCTATCCTAGATATGGAGAGATAGCCTTCCACAATTTGTACTATATATGAATCAACTCCATGAAATTCTTTTTTTTCCAAGGACAGCACTAGGGTGCAGAACTCCAGAAACCTGATGAGAACAGTTCACAAAAAATATTCCAAAAAAAATATATCATCTTGAAACAAATGAAGTGATGTATGATGCAATACAACGCCCTTTGAATTGTAAGTCTAAAATTACTGAATTGCACCATCGAGAGGCAAAAGGATAGAACACAGCTGTTGATGATTGTGATGATCATGATGAAATTTTGACTAAGGCCTGGAATAGGAACTCCTTATAAGAACTGAGTATTATAAAATGTCAAAAGAGACAAGTTAGAGAAGATGCAAAGTGCTTGGAAAAGTGTCAGAATAGAAAGGCCATAATCTATCAATCCAGAATGCAAAGCATAATAATCTTAAAATTACAGAAAGGCATATTATACTTCAGTTAACAGTAAGAGCTGCTCAACATTAGAAATAACTACCTAGAGAATTTGAATCTTCAAAGGCTGAATTCCAGCCAAGAAAAGCCAATTATCACCTTAACTGAGCCCAAATATCAGAACATTGCCCGTGGCACATTTATTGTATTGGCTTTGCTAGCTGGTAGCAGAGTACGTTTTAAAATAAATTTGCCTGTATGATTCTGGAAGCATTGAAATAGTTATATTTTTATTGACTGTGTGCTTTTATAGAGATTATACAGTGAGTTCATGTTCCCTCTTTTATCACCTCTTCATAGTATACAGATAATGTTTATATTTCTTTCTTGGGGTGGGTATTCCAACTGATACAATTTACAAAGTACCTAGATTTTGTGTGCCAACCTATAAAGTCCCCGAGGAGACTGTTGTGCCTTTGCTTGTTATCTCTAAATGAGCTATATACTTGCAATTGTATCTCATGCATCTATATATTAGTAATTGTGTTGCTGGTCCTGGGTTGTAATAAATTCATTCATATATATATATATATTGTGTGTATGCGTGTGTGTGTGTGTGAAATATATATGAACGTTAACTCAGATCCCTAGAAATGTAAAAAATCTGCCCATTTTTGGTCATGCTTATAAACAATGTCTCTAACATGGTATCCACAAATGCTAATAATTGACACTTTTTATGATAAAGTCAGCCCTCTTCGACTTCTTCATAAAAAGAAAACAACCTTGCTTGCAGTAAAACAACAGATCAGCCTCCAAAATTCCATTCATATCAAGGAATGACTCTTTTGTAATGCATTGTTGTAGCCCGTTAACTTATTTCTGAGCGTGCCTGCCTACCAAGAAAAAAGACAATGGAGTGAAATGGAAAAAGTAGCCTAGGGCTTTCTTGAATCTCTGCCTTTAATAAAGAAAGTAAACTTCTCTTGCTTGAGTTTCTTTATTAGGGTAGGGTGTTGTTTGAGGTGGGGTTTAAAAGAAAGCAAAGGAATATAATTAAGCTGGATAGCAAAAGAAACATCAGAACAAGTCCAAAATTTCCAAAAATGTGGCAAAGTACCATCTCTTACTCATAGTGCAGAGGCCAGAATATGAAGAGCTGAAATCCTACTGAGACCCATTACTAATTATATCATCCAGCAATGACCTCACATTTCATTCTGTAATAGCAATAAGTATCCCATTTAAAATTGTCTTCTTTTTTACCTATATTCAGTCTTTAGAAATAGCTTTCTCTGGAAATAGGCAGAGGATGCTGCAGTTTGTGTGCTGTAGCTTATAGTTATACGAACATTTATATATAATGCACAATGTTTGTTATTATCTTCTGGAACTTGTGCAAAAATCAGAAGGGGACAGAACAAGATGTCTATTGTCATATACAGAAAAAAAAGAGCTACAATTAATGTGGAAAATACCACCGCTGCTATTTTATTGCACACTATAAAATTTCACCTACTGTACATCCGTGTTGGTAAAGTAAACTGTGATTAGCTAGAGATATTTTAGCCTGACTATAAATCAGTAAGTTTGGTCTCTGGGTGGATAGCCTTGTATTTTTGTATCTTTTGTTCTGTCCTCTTGTTTTCTTCATGTCAACATAGTATGATAGACTCGCGGGGCCAGCGCGTTGTGCAACAAGGTCACATAGTGTAATAAGATTGGGACTGGGTTAGGGATTTCTGTCCTCACTGTGAGTTGTGTTGTGGGATGCACGAAGGGAGGCTCAGCCACTCATTATACACAAGTTGCACTCTGACAATAAAGGTAATAATAATTGGTATATTTGGAAGAAAATGCACTACACTATTTAACATACAAATGTACAGCACTGAACCACAGAATCCTTTAGCAAAACAATTCTTTACAGAGCAGATCAATTGTGCACATAAAGGCTGGCAAATATTTATCGCAGCGCACATGTGAACATTTCACCCTCCAAACACACAGGAGTTGCTAACAGGTAATGGCCTTATGATAGACTTATTCAGCTTATACAATCACAACAGCCTGAACATTACATTATCTCAGTCTGTGGCTATCATTTTTAGAGTTCATTTATCCAGGAACTATCACAAAGCATAATTATGATGTGCTATCAACTGCACTTCAGTTCTGTCGCCCTGAACACTGAATTCATCTGAATCTTAATTTATATACTAGTGAGTTTTTTAATTCATTCGGTTAAGGGTCCTTTTTGTTTAAAGTTGCAGCTCCTTCCTTTCACCAACTTCACAACAACGGCCAACTAAATT